TGTCATAGGGCAACTGTGTACTAACTGTTAAATGAGAAACTATTTTGTTCTGTAAGCCTTCATCTAAAGTGAGAATAGCAGCACAACTGGAAGAGCATAGTTGATGTCACTCAACTGTGCATGTAGAAATTTTTGAAATGGTATATCTTTGGCTATGTATATTTTCACCAAAAAGAAAGGCTCGAGAAAGGAGACAGTTGACATGTTGTAGGGTTGTTGGCCAGTGTCGTAGAGCAATATGTGTGCTACTGTTTCATAAGAAACTATTTGTTCTGTAAGCCTTCACCTGAAGTACAATAAAAAAATTTAAAAAAAAAAAATTTGTTGCTGCCAAATCATTGTGTACAATGGAATATCATGCAACGATAAAGAACAATAATGAATCTGTGAAACATTTCACAATATGGATAAATCTGGAGGGCATTATGCTGAGTGAAATAAAGTCAATCACAAAAGAACAAATACTGTATGAGACCACTATTATAAAAACACATGAAAATGTTTCCACACAGAAAGAAACAATCTTTGGTGGTTACCTGGGAGGGAAGGGGTGCAGAGTTAAAAACACTAACTAGATAGTAGATAAATGGTAACTTTGGTGAAGGTTAAGACAGTACACAATACTGGGGAAGTCAGCACAGCTTGACCAGGGCAAAGTCACAGAAGCTTCACAGACACATCCAAACACCCTGAGAGACCTAGCTACTGGGCTGGGGGCTGGGGACCGTGGTCTTGGGACATACAGCTCAACTGGTATAACAGCCTATAAAGAAAATATTCTACATTCAACTGTGGTAAGTAGTGACTGGGGTCTTGAAAGCCTGTGAGTGGCCATCTAGGATACATGTACTGGTCTTATCCTAGCTGGAGCAAAGGAGAATGAAGAAGATCAAAAACACAAGGGAAAAATTAATCCAAAGGACTAATGGACCACAACGACCACAACCTCCACCAGACTGAGCCCAGAACAACTAGATGGTGCTCAGTTACCACTACCAGCTGCTCTGGCAGGGATCATAATAGAGGGTCCCAAACAGAG